GCCTCTAATTGTTTCCTTTGCCTTGAGGAACCTTAATACTGGAATGGAACAGACTCAAACCCTTTCATAAAGAAACGTGGTGCACAAGTTAGTGATTAGGCAGTAACTGAAGGAACCTGCTGGTTCCTCTGTCAGTCCGCGCAGCGCTGGCTCGGGGGCCAGGCAGCCCCCATCACCACCGAGCCTGAGTGCGAGCGCGCCCGGCCCGCGCGGCCCGCGGCGTCCGCAGCTCCTGCAGCCCACGCGCCCCCCTCCCGCGTCCAGCTTTGCTCACAGGAGCCTTCCTCACCGTGCACTGATAGCAACAGGCTGCTCAGAACATTTTTTGCTTATGTACAACTTATTCAGCTTTATTAAATAATCAGTCCCTGCTCATGCACCCGTAATGCCATTTACCTTCCCCATCAGGTGCAGCGCGTTCAGCAGAGACACCAGCCAGGCACCGCTGCACCGCGCACAGGCCTGTGCAGCTCCAGCACCGAGCATGCCAGGAGGGGCATGGAGGGCAAGGGTGCTTGCTTCCCAGCCCCGGCTCAACCTGCCCTTTGAGGGCTCTCTTAACATCCTTGCATATTTGAATATCATGTTTTTCCTTGCTTTAACCCCAGTTAAAATGTTAATATGCCTAATTCTGCTTCTATAGGAGCGCAGGGTGACAGGAACAAGGTAGAGTACGGAGGCAAGGGCTGCGTGCGGAAGGATGAAGTGGGAACGCCGGCGGCTAATTGCAGCATTATTGCTGAACGCTGGCAGCTCCATAAATTAACTTTCAAAGAGGACAGCTCAGACTGGCTCTGTCAGCGGGTTTCCCGAGGAGCCCAATCTGCACATCATTTCACGCCTTTACAGGCGGCACTATCTAATTATTCCAGGAAGAGTAACACTTAATGGGATTTGAAATTCTGGGCACTCCTCTCGGTGTCTTTGGCACTGGATGCTGACGTTTGCCCGGGTGGCTGCTGCCTGCCCCGCTGCTGCTGGGGCCTGTGGGACAGGGCAAGGCCATGAAGAGCCCCGGCAGCACCGCATACCCTRCGTGCGCCCGGGACACGGGCACAGGATGCCCCCGGCGCCAGCGCTCGTGGGTGGCCCCGGGAAGGCAGCGAGTGCCCAGGAGCCCGCGAGCGGCCGGACAGCGGCTGGCAGCGAGCCGCCCTGCTCACCATGACCAGCGGCAGCACGGCTCGGTATTAGCGCGGCCGTGCCARGCTGTTATTTCCCTGGCAGCCCTGGAAGGGAGGGATTCATTACAGAGGAAGCCCTGTAAGCTGTGACAGCAGTGCTCTGCCCCAGATGCAGCAGCAAAGCAGCCCCTCAGCGCTCTGCCTGGAGAGCGGCAGCACAGAGCTCGTCTCCAGCAGCGTCCCGGCCTCCCTGTCACGGGCMGAGCCCAGCAGCTCGGGCACAGTCAGGGCTCCGTGCCGGCGGCAGCGGCGCTCCACGTGCCCTGTGCGCCAAGCGGGTGCAGGAGGGGCCGCTGGCGGCGTTCCTGCCGGCAGCAGCGGGGTTCTCACGGGGCAGCATGGCTCCATGCTGCACCCTGTGCTGCRCACGCCTTCCCGTAGCTTGTACACGCTGATCAGGTCCCCCCTCAGCCTTCTCTTCTCCAGGCTGAACAGGCCCAGCTCCCTCAGCCTTTGCTCATCCGGCAGATGTGCCAGGCCCCTGAYCAYCCTSGTAGCCCTGCGCTGGACTCTCTCCAGCAGCTCCACATCCCTCTTGTCCTGGGSAGCCCACAACTGGACGCAGTCTCCAGCTGTGGCCTCAGCAGGGCTGGGCAGAGGGGGACGATCACCTCCCTTGATCTGCTGCAGACACTCCTCTTCATGCACCCCAGGATCCCGCTGACCTTCTCGTTTATCGGAAAGGGCTGTCCGTGCAGCTCAGTTCCAGTGAGGAGACGCAAGGCAGTGGACAGAATTTGGAATTCCAGTGCCCTGCTTGGCAATGGGCCCTGGTGGGCTCTGCCCTCGCRAGGCCGTGCGCAGCAGCCCGTCCATCATCCCAGCACGGCCAGCGCCCGGGCCAGCACGGGCAGCTTAACAGGGCAACGCGCTGCCTCCTGCACCACAAACTGCTTGTTATAYGATCGTACAAGTCTACTGCATATTTATTCTGTCCCACTTTAAATAAATTTGGCTAAGATTGATCTTGTTAGCTCCGGCTGCAAGTCCCTCTTGGCCAGGCTGAGGAAATAAATTAGACTTCGCAAATACTGCAAAGACTAAATCAATACATTAATATTTAGGAGACATTAAAGGGGTTTATTAGACAGAAAAAGGGCCCTGAGTATTACTTAGGAAACATTATACATACTTAAAACAAAAGCATCAGTTGCACTTATGCATTAAATCTATAAGTTGCATTTACATAGCTAATTAAATTCTTTACCTGCAAGCTGTACCCAGTACCGCTTAGGCACAGGAATGCAGCAGTGCAGGGAAGGCAGAGCAGGAGCGGGCACAGGGCGCGTTTCTGGAGCCGCCCGTGCAGGGATGTCCTCGCGGAAGGGCTCACACGAGGATTGCCCAGGTCACAGAGCGCCCCGCTTCTGCGGGACTGGCAGCGACAGAAAGCACTGGCACTGCCAGGAACCACGCAGCTCTGTACTCCTGACTCCAGACCTGCCCACTTGCACGCCYAGGAAACGCTTCAGGGACGAGGTCTGCGGTTCTCCAGGTTTTACCTCCCGCTTTGGCCCCCTTGTCACAAACAYGCCCTGCTCCCAACTGCTCCGGCCCGGCTCCGGTCAACCTGGCAAGCGCAAGCTCCTGGTGTGGCTCTGCCTTCGGGCTGCATGGGGACAGGGACAAGGACAGGACAGGGCACAATCCGGGGCACACGCAGGGCTCTAAGTGGCCTCGTTCCCTAGGGGAGACCTCTGGGGAGGCTGGGCGAGGGAGGCCACGCCGAGGGAGGCCACCAGGCACTTGCACATCCCGAGGGGCCTCCTGGCTGCATCACGGTCCCCAGGAACAGCCTGGGGAGCTCATGGCTCTGGGCCCCGGCCTGCAGCTGTGCCCTAATGCAGAAGGAATTCTCATGGGCACTGGTAAACACGTCTTAATATTTCTGCAAATTGCAAAAGAAACACAAGCTCCGAGGATGCAATTTCAACTTTGACAGAATAAATGTCAGAACAGAAATTGCAGAAACGGCAACCTTTCCCCAGGAAATTATGAGCAATGGAGTATGGTGAGAGGTCTTTCATTTTCTGACTTTACTACGGCAAACATCTGATATTCAAATCATCTGCAGTTCATGACTCTGTGGATCAAGCATTGGCTCTGATGCAGATGGAGTTGATTAAGAACTCCTACCTTCTGCGCTTCTAATGAATTACTCTGTAACGCTCATGTCTCCAGGAAGGTCACTGCAATATTGTCAACTGGAGTTTCTTCTTCCTTTTCACGTGGGCTAAAGAGACGTCAGCTTTTTTCTTTGGTACTATTGATACCRTTTGGTTTCCCTGGTATTAACAGGAGGAGTGCAGCCTGGTGATGCTACGGGGCCTGCACGGGCTCAGGTCTGCCCRGGGACAGCAGGGATCACTTCCAGTCATCGCAGCGGGCAGCAAGGCTGACTGCAGCTCAGCCCTCTTCACCCCATTCCACCTTATTMCTGGGAAACCAGGCCCCTTTAACCATTACACAGCATGTATCTTTGGAATACCCCTGAAGGAGAAGGGACGCGGTCAGCCTGCATAATGGAGGAGAAGGGAACACTGAAGACCCCAGCGGCCGGTGGGCACCCAGGCCCAGGACACGTCCCAGCCGCGCGAGAAGGGGCGTCCTCGCTGAGGGGCCATCCCTGTGTTGGGAAGCGCCTGCTTCCCCAGGGCTGCGGCCAGCAGGGCAGGGCRGCGGGCGGCTGTGCTTGGCTCCTGCAGAGCAGGGACCATGTGCCCCCCAGGCCAGGAGCGCCCGCGCCAGGGGCAGCAGCGCACACGGCGCCGGAGGGACCGACACCAACAGCCACGGCCACCTGAYGTCTGCTGCTCCGCGTTCGGCGCCTCCTTACCCATTAAGAATGCAAAAGAAATGGTAATGATGATCACACCAAAGACTAATAAATTACAGCCTTGGGTTATACTTTCCATTTCTGAAGGGATAAATGCAATCGCTTAATAATTGTGCATATTTTTAACTATTGAGTCATTATGTCCCTATATTCTTGTAGTTATCTTAATTAATTATAGGTTTGTTTATACGCTTTATATATGTAATTAATCTGCAGCTTTGTTTTCTAGCCCCTTGTGTGAAGGCATTAGCTATTACAAAGATAATCAAAGTTAAGGATTGTTCACCCTGGAATAACACAATAAATACAAACTTACACCCTTGCTCTCCAGTGCTCCTAACAGGGAAGCATCCCATGGCAATAAACAGATGTTTTTTATTAACAGTATTGGAATCTGGGACAATATTTCTCTGAGAAAACTGCTGTCTGGAAGAAAACAAAACTATGGATTTTTACGCTGCAGCAAAAGCAACTTTTTTTTTTGCCTTCATTGTTTACTTTGGTTTTAATCAATGACTCCTTTCTGATTTTTAGAAGCTGCTTTCCTTGTTCTATTTCTTTTATTTAACTGACGGGTTAATTACTGTTTTTGTAGCAATGATTTTAGGGGGCACACATCAGGAACTGAGGATACGCTGCACTTTTGCAACAGCCGGTGCACGTTTTGTGCAGCCGCTGCTGCGCAGCCCGAGCGCCGCTCGGCTGCTGATCCATCAAGCTGCTCCTGCGGCCAGCTCGGCCCCACTCCATTTCTAGTTCATTTCTCAGCTGAGATAGCCAGAGAATATTGTGTATGTATCACACTCAATAGAGGGAATAAGGAAAAAAGAGGATCAAGGACAGGGCATACCATGGGAAGAATCTTTATGACCGAAAATACGTATCCCAAAAAACAGGCTTAATAGACTTTCCCCATGTGTACCGCTGGCTCTTTTAAAGCACACTTCAAACAGTGGTTTGTAGTTGAYGTGAGCACATACCTTGTACAATTAAGTGCACCTGCATCGTTCTAGGCGTGTGCTGAGTTTGCACCGAACAGGTGTAGGGACCGTCGTCAGTCACGTCCACGTCCTGTATCTGCAGGCTGTACTCTCTTCTGTTTGCCGTGGCAATGGAGACTCGAGGGTCTACCGACCACTTATCGCTGCCAGCAAAAATGATGCTCGACCGGTTCAGCCAGGCACCCTTGGAGGCTCCATCTTCCAAGTAACACCTGTGGGCAAACAGTGAAGGGGGAGCATGAAGACGGAGGCAGGTTGAAAACACCATTAACTCAGCAGCAAGCCTGGGCCTCAGTCCAAGACTCGAGGGCAAGGACCTGCTACAAATCAGCAGTCCTCARTGCAGCTGCAGTGTGTTAGGCCCCATCCTTGAGGCAGGTGAGTGTCAAACTCAGCAAGTGCCCTCAAGATCATTACAGTTTACCCTGCACGGAGAGCTCTGCCCTGGGCAACACAACCCGCCTGTGCTCTCCGTGCCCGAACAACCCCCGTGCGCCTCAATCGGACCCTAGGAGATGTTTTCCTGGAAAAAATGTAATGACACCTTGGAATCTAAAACAAATTCCCCTTTTAAAGGTTATTTCAACTATTAATTGCTGATTTTATATTTTATGCATCTTACTTTAGTAAACATTCTTTGCATTAGATTGGATTTCCTAGAAAATGACAACAGCGAAACATAATACACAGCTCTTTTAAATAATTATTAAAACGCCATATATTGGCTTTTGTGCAACTGTTGTTTATTAAATATAACATCAAAATGTCTTCTTGCACATGTGACAGTCAGTATAAGTGGTGCTACTGCAATCAGATACACGTGTATCCCTGACAGGTACCTTTCTGTCTGAATTTTATTTTGAAAATATCCTCCGAACTGCAGAGGTGCCTGGCAAGCGAGTGTGCAGTGCAGCTGAGAAGCAAAGCTCGCGGCAGCCCCGGCAGCTCCTGCCCGATAAAGAAGCACGGCTTTCACAGGCCAGCCCTGCCGCATCCTCTGTCTTCCTAGATGCTTGCTGCCGCACGCAGCTGCTGCAGATGCATTTCCACACATCTGCTCTTTTCCTAAGCTCTGCTACCTTAAGATACATTGTTATAGGAAAGACGGATTATTATACGGAGCTTGTCCTCAGGCAAGTAACGGATTAAGCTCTAAACCCGAAACTTTTTATGGAGAATCAACAGCAATCGGTAATGAACAGTGTGATATGTCTTTCGCCTTTTCTCTGGTAACTCAAAGGATGAGTTGCTGGTGTTTCTCCCTGTGAAAAAGGACCTGCTTGGTCCGCTCTCCAAGAACGCCCCTTGGCCAACCAAGCAGGCACGCGTGCCGGGTTGCAGCGGAGAGGCTGCTCGGCGCGCGCTGCCCACGGCAGGGACACAGGAGCTGCACGAGGACCCGCCGCGAGGGACACATGAGGTGTTTGAGAGGTATTTGGCAGGAGGTATTCAACACGGGGTAGWTAAGGGGTATTTGTTGTTARTTAATCATTGTGGWGTCTCCTTCTCTGGAGGTCTTCAAAACCCGCCTGGATGCCAGCCTGGGAGCTCTGCTCCGTGGCTAGGCTGACGCCCCAGGCCCCGCTCCGCCAACGTCGCAGCGCTCTGTGCCACCGAACAAGCTGTGGTGACGCGTGCGCACGATGCTCTGTGCCACCGAACAAGCTGTGGTGACGCGTGCGCACGACGCTCTGTGCCACCGAACAAGCTGTGGTGACACATGAGCACGGCCTGGGCACCCAGGAGCACGTTGGCTCCCAGCACCCTGCCGAGCACGCGCGTCACGACAGCTTGGGGGCCCTCCGCTGCACGGCACCTGCCGCTGCCTCCAGCGCGACCACGCAGGTACCGCAGCACGGCTCAGGGCCAAAGGACACTAATCTTACACACACAAATGGCTCCTCCAAGCACYCTGCTTCTCCTGGAGGACCAGAAGATCCACAGCGGAAGAAGGACAATAAAATGCAGAGCAGAGCCCTGTGGAGGCTCGGGCAGCACCTCGTGCACAGCCTGTGCTGCTCCCGGCACCGGCGCCGCCGCTCCGCACTGCGCTCCCAGTGGCTCCGTCCCCAGCAGCCACCCAGGGCCGTAACGACCCAAACCGCCCTGCGCCTGCGCCACCCAAATCCAGACCAGCCTGCCCGCTGAGCGGCCTGAGAGCCAAGGAAGAATCGCCCTGGAGTCACGAGGGGAAAACTGTCTCCATCACACCCCTTACGGTCATTTATTTGTACAAAGAATGAAACAGGATGGCACAGAGCTGGCACAGGGACAGCATGGGATGGGATGGGATGGGATGGGATGGGATGGGATGGGATGGGATGGGATAGATTATCCCGTAAAATAGGCTAGTATACCCTAAAAATGTAAGGACAGATACAAGGCTTCCCTGAGCACAGCTTGCAGAGTGAGGACAGCCAACACTATTTTAACATATTCCATTTAGAAGTCCCTGCTCACTGAAGTGCTCCATCCACGTGGAGTTCACAGCTCCTGCCTGAAGCCCTTTGTTGAAATACATYGATAAATTGCCATAAATGAAGGTAGCAACCAAGTTCCTACTGACTTCAGAGGACTCCTGTCTCCCCCATGGCTGAGAGCTGCTAGAGCTGAAATCTGAAGATGCGTTGCATATTTGATAACTAAGTTGGCATCTAACGCTTTATTAAATAGTATTCAGAAATACTATAACTAAGCAGTCCAAGCCTACTGTTCCACAAAACAACAAAAAATGCTTCTAAAGCAAATAGAAAATTACACTATCCTTAATCACACAGAATAAGTTGTTTTTAGTGGAACACATTACTTTGCTGCTCTCACCACTGCAAGACCAAAACGCGTATTCTACTGTGAGTGACAAAACACTCCTTTCAGAGAGCAGAACTGGTGGGTAAAAGTTTCCAGGCTCCAAAAGGAAGGAAAGAAGTATAATTACATTTGCCAACAGCAGGCTCGTGCTAAGGAAAACAGATATTCATGAGATACAGGCTACAATTTGCCAAATATAAACAGGATCAAGAGGTTTCCAAAAGCTTTTAAGAGGTTCACGAAGCTGTGAAATTCATGAGGAATTTGCATTAGTACCAATCCATGCATTTGGATTTACTCATGGCATTTTTCCTCTGGCATGTAAAAACATTTGAAAATGGAGTCCTTAAATTGTTAGAAAAATGCTTTTAAAAGGCTGCTTAGATAAAAAAAAAAAAAGAAAAAAAAAAGAAAACCACAAAGATTATTTTTTAACTGTTGAGTGTTTGAGAAGCCCAAGAAATAACCTGAGTGAGGGCAGGGCGGCGTTTCAGGGAGGTATTTTACTTCGGCAGACCCCAGCCAGAGGAGCTGCGAGTGCCGGGGCCGGGCCAGGCCTCACGACTGCTCRGCTCGCCCGCACCCCTCACCGGGGGCATCTCCCAAGCCCAGAGGCAGTTCCGAGAGCGCCTGAGAACCGGCTGCACGGGCTGCCCGGCGCACGASTCCACTGCCAGCCGGGACCCTTCGGGAGGCCGTGCCCCGGGAAGCAGCCTGCGCCCGGCTGGGGCCTGCTGCGGGAACAGCCTCTGGGAGCAGCCGTCTCCCGGCCAGCAGCACTGTGCTCCTCGCACCGGGCAGGAGCCGGAGCCGAGCTGGAGCAGGGAGCGCATYCCGGAGCCCTGCCATTGGCACAGTGCTCCTTGCGCCGGGCAGGAGCAGGAGCCGGAGCAGGGAGCGCATCCCGGAGCCCAGGCGGCCGGCAGGCACTCGCGCCCCGCCAAGGGCTCCAGCGAGGCCGTCCRTCCTGCAAGGCAAGCCTGCGGGAAYGCGAGCACCYGGACACGTGAACTCGGTGGTTAGGCAAACCAGAGCACTGCAGGGGTTTTCTGCTTGGTTGGGGGTTTGAAACTGAAAATCTGAAATCAAAACAGAGCATTTTCATCATGCCACAGAGTCCTCCATATTTATGTACCAAACGTTGGCCTTTGTTTGTGCACCTAGGGCCAGGCTTGGAGAGCTCTGCTTCCCGTCCCAGGAGCGGGGGCTGGCTGCGCTGGGCGCGCTGGAGGAGGTCCCGGACTGGTGGGGAGCAGCAGCTTCCAGATGCTGAAATCTTATACCTCTCATTTGAATGGTAACTGCTCTAAATATTCTCAGTTTGCTCTTTATACTGCAGTTGTTAAAAAACAACGCATTAATAATGCAAAACCAGGAGCTAACCAAATGTAGAGGCATCCCAGAGCAGGGTTTCCTGCAGAATGCATCTAGCTAGAAAATATCCATTCCTGTTTCAGGAAAAAAAGCAGACTTTGGAATAATCCTCTGAACCAACCCTTGGCGAACAGGAACCTGGCAGGGCTGCGCGACCACTAGCAGCCCTGCCAAACACACATGAGCCCCCGGCAGCGCAGGGATCTGCAGGGCCGGGATGGGCAGCGCTGGAATGGGATCTGCAGGGTCCAGGACGCTCCTTCCATGCGCAGACGCTCCTGCTGAGTCACTGACTACCAGGGCACGGACCCGCACGGGAGAAGGGAAACACAGCTGGACCAAAGGGACATGGCCAGGCTTTGGTGCCACGTGGGGATGCCAGGGCAGCTCATYACTGAGATATAAAGTACAGTAACAGTTTTAATTGTAAAACAGATACAGACAATAAATTACAAATGCTTTTGAATGAATACATTAATGAATGTGGTATATGAAATAAAATTTAATTAACATTGTAAAGTCGTAAGTCTTTAAAAGATAAAGTGAATTAATGGAAAGGCTTTATAAATTAATTAATATAATACATGAACTGGAATTGAATTAGATCTTAAAAGTATTTTAGATCATTCTTGTATAAAAAAATAGCAATATATGTGATTGCAACTTGTTAATGGATTTTGAAGAGCAGAAAAGAGCAGCTGGAGACTTCATTTTATTCAAACATAATTTTTGATTTCTGCATACTTATTCCCTTTTCCTAGTGCTGGTAGAGGAATACAAGGCAGGTATGGATAATAATGACCAGACTGGATAATAACAGCCCTGCCTGCTGCCTCCTGCCTGC